ACTGTTAAACATACTAATGATAGACAAACAACTCACAGTTTCACTAAAACCATTATCGGTGGCTATGCTAACTAGCCTCGGCATCTGCAAATATTTATAATGGAGAAGCGGTAGCGTAGCAGAGAGTACACAAACATGATTGGCAGCGCTAAGACCTGCCTCCTGGCTGAACTGAGGTACAAAATCTTTCACAGATTATCCGTCTCAAAATGTCACAACATAGTGACAGTTCCAACAAATATGGAAAGAAATATTTTTGAAAAAGGTGACATACTTTAATCTCTTTGCTGGCATCTCACAAACATTCTGAATGTACAGTTGCAGAAGCGACATGTACGTTAACAGGTCCGTCAGGGAGCACATCACCACGGTAAAAGCATCTGCAACCTGGCACTCAAAGCCACCGTCTTTAAAAATGCATCGGCTTAATGCCTTGCCAGACTTTCCCTGCAGAGCTGCAAATAAAAACAGAACAAAACGAGGTTTCTTCATCGTTTCCTTTCAACCCTTTTGCATCCACAGCAGCCAAACTGCGCCAGCCGCCTTAAATATAACTGTTTCCCAACAGAGTAGCTAAATTTGTCCGTTTTTCTGCTCATTGCAGCAGGAAGAGTTCAGATGTCTGATAAAGAGCTTCTGCTTTCACTGCCCTGGATAGTAGGTCACATGTCCGGAGACAGAGAGCCAGTCTGACCCCAACGACGGCGCTCAATAACTCCTAAGAGTCGCCGCTTCAAAGGCTGCACACCAACGAGGCAAACAATAAAACGGAGAGACCGTATCTCCTAGCCTGCAGGAACCAAGGCAAGGGAGATACGGTCTCTCCGTTGCTATCGTGGAACTTACAGGATGCTGGAAAATGCTAAAACAGGAAAGTAGAACAAGAGAGAGAGGGAAGAATTGCAGCAAAGGTCAGCAAGCTGGGAATTGAACCTGCGACCTCGAGGACTAAGGCCTCTTCATGTGGGTCGTGCTTAACCCTTGCGCCAGCACAGCACCCCAGCTGCTTTTCTTTGTAAACCACAGGGTAATGTCTGTATTTTAGATAGCTACATGGAGTTAAATGGGGAATTACATTATTCAGGATTAGAACCCGACACGCTCCAATTTGTACCTACGTTTACCGTCTACAATCTCGTTCCTTGATTTATCCTCCATTTTGATTCATGTTGATCAAATCTTTGTACATAAGATTATTTTTTCTGTTGTCTTTTATGTTTCCAGACACTTTTTTGGATTTACCTTTCCAGATTGCTTTTTCCAGCGATATTTTTAAACGTACATTGGTTTGAAGCATAATCTCTTGATTTTGGAGTATCCTAGACTATACATAGATTCTTCAAAGCAGTGAACTTCAGTCACTTTGATATTGTTTGTAAGATTTCCAATATATATATATGTACACAGTATATTATGTTTATAATATTGCCATCAATTGTTATTTGGATTTCAATTCATATGGTTAAAATATCAAAAAAGCGCCCACTTTTGTTGTAGTTTTCAAGTTTATATTACTATGAATGTTATGCCTTTTTGCTGTTTGACATTTACACAAGTTAATGTTGCAAAACAACTACAGTGTAAAAAGAGTGACTGCTTCTTTAGTTTTCACACAAACACTCAGCATTTTCCAAGCTGTGATGACGGCAACCAACCTTGTTGCAAATGCTTGGTTCATTTTAAGACAAATAAGTGCATTTCTGGGGTGGTTTTTTTCCCCCATCCTTGCAAAACAAACACTCTGTGATTTAACCTCCTTTTTCAATTCGTCACAGGCGACTGCGGTGAAAACAGCAGTAACCACCGTCAGTGGGAAACATTCCCCGGACCGGGCCGACTCTGACAGGAATGCAGCGACATGTGGGCAAGGCATTCTGCGTTCAGACGAGGACGGAGCATCGTCGGGATTTACGAGTGAGCAGTCAGAAAAGAGGGAGCGCACCGTCACCGTTCACTCGACCTGACGCAGGACGTGAAGGCTCCAGACGTGCCGTGACAGAACCACCGAAACGTTCCCGAAACCATACCCCGACTGCTCCGATTACATCTGGCGCGACCGCACAAAAGATAACGCCGCACCGTCTCGGGCGTTCTCACACGGTCACAGATCGCAGAGCGTAGGAGCACGGTTTGTTCTGCTGGTGTGATTCCTCAGAGCGCTGCATCCGACACACAGCTGGGAAGCAGCAGATCCCCCTCCTTCGGAATACGATTCGGCCTGCTCGTTGTTTTTGTAACGTGTGGAAACCAGGCGGTTCTCTTGACCGTATTAAAAAAGTCTGGCTAACTTGTTGAAACGCATGCCATGAGAGTGAGTTCCTTCTCAAACTGAAAAAAGAAAAAGAAGCTGCTGTCAGGGTTTGCTGTTGTGCTGAGCCACATGTAAGAGATCCGATGTCCGCATTGACGACAGAGAAGGAAGAAAGACGATGGTGATGACCGGTGAACCCGAAAGTGCAGGCGAAATCTCAAGACACAAGATCCCAACAACAATAACTGTCGTGCAACAGGCTGTGGAGCTGTTGCCAACGTCACACTTCACCTGTCGAAATGAGCTTACGCAATTTGGCTTTATTAGGGGTATTTACGGTTTGAAGTAGAAAAGGAAGAAGTGCTTCATTTGCCATCGTCGAGTCGAATCATAAAAACATTTGAAGAACTTCCTTTCAAGTTGATTTTCGTTACACCACCATGGAGTCTGCGCCACTTTTGTATTGTTTGTGTGGCAGCATTGTGTTTACTTAGTAGCACTGCAAGAACCTAACATTTTACCAGGCATTTCTGTCCGGTTTCTAGTGCAAATATATCTAAATATAGACTCTAACTAACCTACAAGTACCTTTTAAGCAAGATACAGGAGCTTGTTTTAAGTTGATAATTTCTTTAACATTGATGAAAAAGTACTGGCAGACTATTTTACTTATAATATAGAGAAAGTATCCTATAAATTAAATAATTTACTAGTGGAACAATGACTTTTTTATCAATATTGAGGAATTATCTACTTAAAACAAGCTCCTGTATCTTTATGAAAAGGTTGCTTGTAAATTAATTTGTTTTATTTCTGAACCTCCGACGGCTCGTGGACGACGAGCGCTAAGACCGTGACTGAAATATGAATACATCCCATGTAGCTGTTTACCGCTGCCATGTTTTCTAATGAACAAGTTTATTCACGTGCGATTTTGAATTTAATTTCCTATCTGGTGGAAACACCACAATTGCAAAACTGTGTTTTGTCAACATCAGCAGAATATAGACAAAGACCTGAGCACATTCGTAACGGCAACACAGCTTGTGTTTCCCTGCGTTTGACGGACAATCCGCCCATGAAGCGCCCCGCCTCTTGAACAATGACTGCTGCAGACTGGCACCAGACCCCCTTGATGTGACCCCACAAGGAAAAGAAGGTGGATGGATGGTAGATCTGCTCCAGAACTTTTGCTATTCTACAATTCTGTTGTTTTTGTTTAACCTAAATGTACTTGGATCATCTTCAGCGGAAAATCCAACATATTAAGACTGATCAAACTTGAGCTACATCATTCTACACAGGAGAAGTACAACAGGCTGTCTGGCTGCAGTCTGCCATCCCCACATCTGCCTCTCACACAAAAACCCCTTGGAGGGCCTTTATTCTATGACAATGCAACGTTCTTAACCCTTCAGATCAGGACCTTTGGTTGTACTCAAAGGAGAGCTGCCTCTAACAATGGGATTAGACCTGGCAGAGGATCAAAGTACTGCAATTTTGGAGTTCAAGGCTCTCAGTCTACTGGAAATTTACATGCTCTGTTACTGAAACCAGAGCAAGTACCCAGTCAGACCGTTCCGAGGTGAGCGTCTGTGTGAAGGAGACAGCAGGAGAAAAGATGAAAAGAGTGAGCCAGATGTGAAGAGACCAAGCAGAGACTATAGAGAGGTTGAGAAAACAGGACAAAGAGACATAAAACGCACACTGATATTTTTTCTGGTGCTGCCCTAAACTGCCTTTTGTTTGCACTCACATTTATTGCCGCTGCCCAGCACAACATCCTAAAGCCACCCATGCAGCTTTCATTTTAGAAAGGATAACAGCAAGAAAGCTGCTCCCGTGGACCTCAGAGAAGTCGGGCACGGGAAGAAAGTAATAAGGAGCACACCGGAAAATGCCTAACTCCGTTTTGTGTGTTGTGAGTGTTGCCACAGCTGTGTCTGGTTCTGCAGAACACCAGTCACATCAAGGGGAGTTTTCTGGACTGGCATGGGGGTGGCGGGGAATCTCCCACCCATCCAGAGCCGCTGCTGGATGGGCACTCTGGTTTTAGACAGTACTTCATGTGCAGTTTTTACCTGGTGACTGTGGATTTGTTTGATTTTACCGTTACAGTTGATCCCATGGCTATCGGAGGGTCCGTATTTGCAGATTTCTATTTTGGAACGTAACTCCAACAAATTATTCACAGAGATCTCGCCTATCCTCAGAGTATTTCGTAGAGCATCTCTAAAACATTTTAAAGAAAATGCAGCTTGGGAAGCCAAAATAGCTGGACTGAATGCAACTTGATGTGCTATTGGACATATTTATTTTCTATTGATGACCAAAATTAACTGAATCGAAGCACCATGGTTTCTACAGAACACATCAAACAGGTCAAGGACTTCCTAATGGCAGCTACTTTATATATTATGAAGACTATTCGTCATTTTTAATTAAGTTTTCGCAGACATTGCAATTGCTTTTGGGGGAATCAGGTATGAAATAAATGGTTTTAGAAAACTGGAGGACCTACTGCATCATAATTGAATTGTGGGCATAAAGTTTGATATGTTAGCATAACGTCTGGAAAAACCAAGCCAACTGCATGATTCCTAAAATAAACTTCAGAAAATCTTTGGGAACAGAAAAAAATTGGCTTGCTGAAGAGTGAGTCAGTTTACTGTAATCACATTACTTGCTGTAATCACTTCTCCAGAACACTTTCTGGAGAACTCTCCAGGAAGTTGAAACTACTCTTTACCTTTCTGTAGATGAATGATGTCCGGGAAGTTGGCGAGCAGGCCTTGATAGAGCGAGAGTTTATCCAACATCTGGAAGAGGTCATACTTAGGTTGCTCTGCAAACATCTCTCCGATGTTTTCATAGGTGCGGCCAGTGTGGGAGATGGCATTGTTGAGGGCATCTGTCTTGTAGGGTGGGTCAAGTGTGAACGCCTGGCTAATGGACTGGAAGGCATTCCCAAGTCGCTGGAACTCCTTCCTGAACCCGCCCAGGTGCTTACGCACGAGCTCGGAGGCAACATGCGTGAGCTGCATCACACTGTCGTCCATTTTCTTGGCAAAGGTCTTGAAGTTGTCAACTCTCTCCTCGACGTCCTGAAGGTCCTGGTGCTCGTTGGGGATCTGAAGAGTCAGCATGAAATGGGCTCCCACCATTTCGTCCTTCTCTGCCCGCCTCTTACCCAGTTTCCACTGCTTATCATCAGCACAAATCAGAAAGTGCTCAAAGCCTTCATACTGCGAGAGGACCGGGTGGCTGGTCATGTGGTTCATCCACAGAATCAGTCGCCTCTTTCGCTTCTCGATAAAGTCCTCCTCGAACCGACCGGTGGCCTGCTTCTCAGGGAGGTGAGGCACAGAGATCACAGTGAACTTGTGCAGTAAACGGTTGTACAACCAGTCAAAGTGTTTGTATCGCCTGTACACTGGCCGGCCTATGTGGCTCGGTGTCACTCTGTATGATATGTAGGTCTTAATACCCTTGAACTTTGTCTGTTTGGTTGGGTCTTCAATAGAGCAGATGAATGGCCTGGGATTAGCCTTCCATTGAGGTCCCAGTGAACCCATCTCAATGGTGTACGACTCTGCAATCTTTGCCATCATGGGGACATCACCAAGCACAAACGCCTCCACGCCTGAGCGGACAAAGCTGGAAAATCTGTTCAAGTTTCTGCCCACCATGCTACCCTTCCTGCCGCTGGCCATGCTGTCTTGTCCGGAGACTGGTTTGTTCCGGTAATGCACGTTAGGATTATTCGATGGTGGGGCCTGAAAGATATGTCCGTTAGCTCCAGTAGTGCTAGTGTTAGTGTGATCAGCATCATCCACCACTGTGGATCTGTCGTCCCAGTCGTCCCAGTCATCGTAGTAGTCTTCGTCATAAATCTGTGCAGAATTAATGGATGTGTTTGGTGTAGACGGTAGATGGGGGGAGTCATTTCCTAAAGAGCCTGCCGGGCTTATGGAGCAGTCCGTCACGTTGGAGTCGGAGCGAGTGCGAATGATATTCACATAAGATTTAGGGAAGAGACCCCGCTCCCCTCGGCTGTTTTCCCCCAAGACCCAGCCATCCACCGAGTTCTCGTCAAAGATAACCACTTCCTCATTTTCCTGGATGTTGATCTCTTCCTTGTTTTCACTTAGAAAAGTGTAAATGGCAACACCTTTTACTGACATGTTGACACACAAGCGGCTCCCAAATCTTTAGCCTCTACATGCACATAATGCCTTGATTGGCACAGTCTACTTTATGCTGCATGGACACATATGACTACAGCCTACTGTAATACTGCAGAATCTGACTTGAGTAAAAATAATCTTCTAAAGCCTAGTTTCAAACAACACTATCTACTTTTGCTTTTTAAGTCTAAATCACATTTAAACATCATCAGCCCATTTAGGACTCTGCTCTTACTGCGTACCTTCAAGCTACAACTCCACAATATGCAAGCAACATATGTGTCTGCGTCAACATGAAAACAATATGACTGAAACCAAAACTGTTTTCATCCGAGTCCTCCTCCAACAACCCCGTGGATCAGCAGAATCCTCTCTGAGCTGCGCTTCCTGAACGTGATGTGCATTTATCGCTCCTGAGCTTCACCCGGGATCCTTGAAGCCTTCAGAGACAAACACGCTTTCAGGACAAAGTGGACAAACCCAGACGGATGAGTAATGGTCTCCTGGTGCATTCTCAGCCCGCACCGGATTCCCTCACACTCAAACTTGCTGCGTTTTCCTCGTAAACAGGTTCCTGCGCATCTCCGGCGAAAGCCCCGCAAAAGTTGTGAAAAGAGGGACGAGGACGGCCCGCTTTCGGAGACAATCAACATCCGTCAAGGTCCGCTGGTTTTAAGGTTTATCCTCTGAGTGTGTTCCTCGAAGCGCTGCGACTCTTTCCGTGACGCGAGGCTCGGACAATTGGAGGCAAGTTTGCCTGTTTTCAGCAGCTCCTTCATGGTCTGGGAAGGGAGGGAGGGGGAGGGGACCAATACCGCCCCCAGCTGGAGAAACTGAGTACAACACCGGGCACAGACGTACACATCTGGGAGAAACTTCATGTCATTAATTCCTTATGAAATGAGACTGAAAATTAAGGGGAAATTATTATTATAAACGTTTGGAGTATACATGGGTTCAGACTTCTGGATTTTTTTTATTGGTTTCAAAATGTAAAAAAAAAAAACTTGAGTATTTTTATAATAATAATAATTAAAAAACTAAATAATAATAATACACACACCTATTGTTGAATTAGTCTTAACTTCTGCTTTCTCTTTATATATATGTTTATGTATACATACACACACACACAAACCCTGACGTACATATAACCAGTGGGGGCGCTCTCGTGCCTGACAGGAAAAACGGGTTTTCTGGTTCTGGGCATGCGCGGCTCAGAATAAACGCGCTCTTGCGTCATGACGACTCGCTTCCAATGTGATCCACAGGTATGGCAAAAGGCAACTGTTATAAGTCCATACAAAAATATGAAGATTATATATGAAGATTAGTTTTTGTAGTATTTTGTGTTATTTATATGTGTAAGTTGGATCATCTAGTACCAAGCTTCGACCTGTGTCCAAAAAAGCTTTGTTTTTGTTGTTGGAGCCTTTGTGATTTTGGATTTATTTAAATGACTTAATCCGTCACTGCTGTATTGGTATTTGGAAGGCAAATACCAATATTTGCCTTCCAGCATTTTTTTGCCTTCCAGCATTTTTTTCTCGTAATTTATTTAATATTATTTTTATTATTTTGTTATAACAGCTGAGACGGTTGTAACTGTCAGACGTTGGTATTTACTGAGTGTTTGTAGATGTTTTCCTCGGTTTGGTCACGTCGACTTAACACGACCAGGTTTTTTAATTACGTAATTTTGTTTGTGCATTTTAAATTTTTTAATCGCATTTCTTTTTTTATTATTTATTTTAATTTATTTTATTTATTTTTCATTTATTTTTTATCGTATTTCTTTGCAAAGACTCCGGATGTGGTTGAGTTGTATTGCAATTGTATTTTTATTTACTTATTTATTTATTTGAAAATGTGCGTCTGCATGTTTCAATGCCGAAAATTTTGTTTAAAGTAGGAATATTTTAAAAGTGGGCCCCCAACAAAATAAATGACGCGCGTGGTTGATTCACAGTGAAAATCTCGGTACTCAGCCACAGTTGTGCAACTCCGGTATAGTTTGTGAGTTATTTGTCGGCCATCTGAAACCCTCTCACCCCGGCAGTAAACATGACGGCAGCGTGACGCGTTAGCACTGCCGGCAGTAGCAGCCTCCCTGAATCCCAAGGTATGTGTTTATTTTATTTGGAACTACCGAGTAGTATAACCAGTGTACTTGTTAATATTTAATTGGTGTTATGTGGAATTTATAGAAAATGAGCATATACCGTAAACTTCAGAGAGACAGCTGCTAAAGAGCTTATGATGCTAGGGGGATTAGCTTGCAGCTAGCCGCTAGCTAAAAGTGACTGTCTGAAAATTAAATATCGCGGCGTTTCACCTCGTTATATTCTCGTTGAGACGGGGACGTGTTTGGAGTGCAGTTGGTGTTGTGGGTTTGATGTACATCTATTAAGATGTCCAGTCTTTAAATTAATGTCAACGTTAGTTCTAATTGAGCATCATGAGAGGGAGAACCAAAAGTTTAGATCACGCAATATCCTGTGTTGTTTTTGGAAGTTCAAAAACAACACAGGTTCAGTTGATATGTGCTTATGAGCTTGTCATTGTTTTTACATCTTTCAGTGTGTGTTTGCGGCGTTGCCATGGACGACCTGACCGCAGCCCTCTCGTCCAGCTTCGCTGTGTCCAGGGAGCCAAACAGCACCGCCGCCCCTCACCCTCGGCTGGCCCAGTACAAGAGCAAGTACAGCGTTCTGGAGCAGAGCGAGCGGCGACGGCGTTTTCTTGACCTGCAGAAAACGTAAAACCCACCCCACGTTGCCTGTTTTGATGCTTGATGACACACTGAAGCCATATGCAGTTCCAGGCTGATGTTTATGTGCATTCTTGGTGCAATGCGCATAAGCTATTTGAAAATTATTAAGTTATAGCCAATTTCTTTGGGAATACTATGGAGCTGTTGGCCAGCATCAGTTCAAACCTAGTGATGTATTATTGTGTCATTATTTGCATTAGTAAAATAATTTTTGTTTTAGGACACCAAAAATGGTTCCAGCTCAGGGGCCCCAACATTACTTGTAAATTTGGCCCTGTAAATGTTTGAGTTTCTTTCTTCTTCTTCTTTTGAAATCTCAGAAAAAGATTAAACTATGTCAACCACGCACGTCGCTTGGCCGATGGGGACTGGACGGGGCCAGACAGCGATGGGGAGGACGACATGGACAAACAGGAGGATGGGGAGCGGCAACAGGAAGAGGAAGAGGAGGGGATGGAGGTAGAGAGGAGGAAGCTGCCCAAGCATTATGCAAACCAGGTCAGTGGCGAAGCTGTTTGGCAACCAAGAAAAACGTGCAACACCGACGTCCAGCAGAGGGCAGCGGAGCTCCACCGCCACTGTTCTGCTCTTTCATCGCTGTGTTTCTATTTCTAAAAGTGAATTCCCATTGATGCCACGTGAAGATAACTGGGTTTCTCATTCCCGTTTAGCTAATGCTGTCAGAATGGCTGGTGGACGTTCCTCCAGATCTGGACACCGATTGGCTGATGGTGGTCTGTCCTGTGGGGAAACGATCTCTAATTGTTGCCTCCAAGGTAAGCCACCCTTGTATTGCAGAATGTTACGAAGCTGTTCTCTTCATGTTTGTTATTTAAACTTGGGAATTTGTTAGTACTGCCTTTCATAAGAAAAAAAAGCACACTTTTTTTCTTTCTCAGCTGACGGTGAGTTGGTCAACGAAGCAGAAAAGTTTGGCCGCATAGAGGATGTGAAAGGGTTTGAGGCATCAGGAGAACGCAGAGTACTTGTTGCTGTGTGAAAGTTTTAAAGCTTAGTAAGCAGGTTGGAGTCATTAAGTGGTGTTTTAATTATCACAAATTTGTTTCTTAAAGAGACCCTTGCTTTTCGTCATCTGGACAGGTGTCAAGCATTTTCACCTTTTATGATGTTTTAAACACAAACCACAGGATTTTCTGTGACACAACGTAGCATACGATGGTTACATTCGGGTTTTTTTTTAAGGAAATAAAGTCTGAACACTGTAGCGCACATTTATATTCAGTTCCCTTTACTTGGATACCCCTTAAATAATGCCTTCAGTTGAAGCCTAGTAAGTAAATGATGTCAGTATGAACTCAGCTGGTTTGTGAAGGTTGTGGTTAGTTTGTGAACTTTAGGAACAGAGAACACAGCAAGGATACACAATACACATTCCTCAGAAGTATTCATGTCGCCTCTCGATCAATGAGAAATATCAGCACTGCAGTCTGAGCGCCTTTCTGAATAAAACAAACCAATCAAATGATGCTTCGCTGCAGTTCTGCACTAAATAGTTTGACCTGGGCCTGGTGTCTCAGCCGGCCATTTTCCACGAGCAGCGCGGCTCAGCTCTACTCCACTCCACGCAGTTTCTGTGGTTGAACAGTTGAGTTACGACGACTCCAAGGGCTAATGTTCCCAGGGTGATCCATACATGAAACAAATACATCCTACTCACCAAGCAAATGCATGAAAACTAGTATGAAGCATAAATGGTCCTGAGATTGTGGGTGGAGGTTCAACTTCCTAAACATTTAGCCGGCGCTAGAATGCCACGGTGTAGCTTTCCATTACCCATGCTTTGTTTTTCCTACGTTTGGGGAAATATTGGCAACACTGACACTAATTTCCTCTTGGCGCTTGTTCAAATGTCAATTTAATTTGTCTGTAAATATACACAGAGTGCAATCAGATGGTTCCATCAGCAGTAGATAGTTTCCTGCCTTCCTTTGTTTGCACACAGAGAGCAATGTCTAAAACTGAATATCTGCAATCCAAGGTACCAAGGTTCAGTATCCTGCAGCTCGGTAAACTCTTTGACTCTTGCATTGGCAGAAGTGTTGAGACCAGCGTAGGAACGGTAACATTTCTCTCTTCTTGTCTGGGTGGTGTGTGTGTCCTAAAGGGTTCCACTGCTGCGTACACTAAAAGCGGCTATTGTGTGAGCCGTTTCCCTTCCCTGCTCCCCGGTGGGAACAGACACAACTCTGCCATGGGAAAAGGTGAGCCGGTCTGTTGTTTACCATAGAAGGAGGGGCTATTCTTGATTTTTTTATATATATAAAACCTCTCTACCGCAAGTTTTATCACAACAGTCGCAGAGGAAGACTTCACCTCGACATTCAGCCAAAGACAGAGCATTAACTTACACCAATTGTGTAAAAAGTCACTAAGTTTTGACTCAAATGTCATCGTTTTTCCCCAGTTAAAAACACACTAATTCTGTGGATTCTTTTCCTTTTATCTGCTCAGCAAAGAAATTAAATATGCATTATTTTATTTTAAAAATAGTTTTAAAAAAAACAAACAGATTTTTATAGGTTTGGAAATGAATGGTGTTTGGAAGATGTGAAACTTCCTAACTTTTTTTAGGGTGGGATATTTTTCTTGATTGTTCTTCAAAAACCTTTTCTAGAATTGGCCAAACTCTGCATGTTTGTGGCCTTACTTAACATGGAGCTAAAATTTTTATGTCATTACACTTTACCTGTAATGACATTGGCGTCAGTCCAGCAAAACAAGTTATTTTGCTTTTAACCCAGTGAAGCAATCACAGGCAGGTGTCTGCTGTGATTTATGTTACAAAATAAACACAGAAGCTTGGTTTTAAATAGTTAAGACTCTGCATTTCAATCGAGGAATTGGCGTAGTTTAGATCATACCTCAAGCAAAAGCGAAAGATAATAGAAGTTAATTTAAGCAGAAAACAAACTTCTCAGAAGGGAGTGGTGTTTTGGTTTCATTGTTTGCTTTTTTCTGTTTTTTTCTAAACTGAGTGGAGAGTCTAATTCTATATCCTTACAAAATGTCCTTCAACTGCTGAAGCAGCAAATTATAAGACAGTTTTGCTAACGTCAGATTGTATTCAATGCTAAAGGGCAGAGCCTCCCATAGCTGCAGCCTCAGGAACCTGTGTACACTCGTCTTTTGTTGTTTGTTTTCGTTCTTTTGGTTGGGCTGCACCAAACTGTCAATTTCCTCCCTGGGGGGCCTAAGAAATGTATTTTTTTTCTTCTAAGAGTTTTAGGATTGGCTGTAATGTACAGGTGAATGTTTGCTGGTCTCTTTTCTGTGTAGACTACACCATCTTGGACTGCATTTACAGCGAGGTGGACAGAACCTACTACATCCTGGACGTCATGTGTTGGAGAGGACACCCGGTCTACGACTGCCCAGTAAGCAACCCGGGACGGCTCGTCCAGCTCTTCTAATGCGGCCACATTGCTCGTCTTGCTTGGAATGTGAAAGAAAACTTCTAAGTTTTTCTTGTTCTTGTTTTCTCACCAACAGACTGAGTTTCGCTTCTACTGGCTCCAGTCTAAGGTCCAGGAGACGGACGGCCTGTCGGAGATCGCCAAACGCAACCCTGTGGGTATCTGCTCCCAGATGAATCCTCTCCTCGTGTCAAACTGTTTATTTCAAGTTTAACAAGCTCCGGACTGAAGGCGATTGTACTTGTTCGCTCATTATTACCTAGTTTTAAGTTCAGTTCACACTATTAAACTGAATTATTTCATGTTCATAGCTCATTAAGCAAATAATCTGAAGTAAGTACCAATAGAAGTTTGTTCTCCCAAATGTATCTGTTTCTTTGTGAAACCTCTCAGAATATTTTGCTCTCATGTGAATATTAGCATGTTGTTTATGTCAGCATGTAGTCACTGGAACCAGGAATGTGCCGGGTTTTATTTGCATCTGTTGTTCACGCTCAGAGTTCAGCTCTCAGAATAGCTGCCGTCGTTCACACATGCGTTCGTTTTAGTCGTCAGAAAGCTAAATTATCAGGAAAACCGCAGCAAGAAGTTGCCCGGTAACTCTTTATTTTTTTATTCCTGAAAGCGTCCCGATCAGCTGAAATCATTATTCCGTTTGAACAGGTCAGCTACCAGGATCCTCGCTCACACATTTGGGCTAAATTTCATAAAAAATTGAAAGCATGACGCAACCGTTTCATTCATCTCCAGCCTGCAAACCCACAATATGTCATCGACATGATGTGTGTTACGTCCACGAGGCAAAAGACAAAATTATTGTCATTATCATCCGTCTCGAGTCACAGTGCGTAATGAAGGCGTCTGAGTGTGACTCAAACATTGCCCGACAGAAAAGACCAGCGAGGAAAAAATACACACGGCATATAGGAGATTAAATCCTCCTGTTGAGACAAAGTTTATGGCCTGAGGTTAACACTTGAAAGATAACTTACTGTTTAAAATGGATTTAAGACATTTTAATGAAATGAAGTGACTTCAGACCCCCAGCGCTTTTTAACCCTCCATGGCTTCTCAAAGACGCTTCACATAAAATCAGTCATTTCCATTCACACACTGATGATGGCGAGCTATTGAACTGTAGCCACAAGCTGCGCTTTTTTTTTTTTCTGACAGATTTCAAGATTTGAAAAAAAAAAGATAATGTTTTAAAGTCTTGGTTTCAGAGGCATAAATTGAAGACATTTTAAGGTTGATGTGTCGTCGTCTTTGTTGAAGAGAGAAACGTCTTTCAGTAGGATGAATTTAATCACAAGTGACATAAGTTCACTGTGATACCTTCAATTCTAGAGACCAGGGAAACTAATGTATGCCATTGAAATCAATTGAATATTAATTCAATTGATTATTTTATTTTATTTTTAGTGGTAAAGCCCAGTAGGAGCTATGTAATCTTGGGCATTTAATAAAAACCCTCATATTGCACTAACCCGACAATGCTTTGTTTTCTCTGTTAAAACAGTTCCGGTTCGTGAGTCTCCAAAGCACCGACTGCAGAGCCGAGTCCGTTCAGAAAGCACTGGCAGCCGAGTACAGCTTCGGTGTAAGTCGCTCATCTCCAGCATCCGTCTTTGTGTGTAATGTGTGGTTAAAAAGTCAATTTTATTGTATTGTTTTATTTTTGCCTCTGCAGGTGGACGGACTTCTCTTCTACCACCGGCAGACCCACTACACCCCCGGCAGCACCCCTCTGGTTGGCTGGCTTCGCCCCTACATGGTGACAGACATCCTGGGGATGGAGGTTCCCGTCGGACCCCTCACTGCCAAGCCGGAGTACGCCGGCCTGCAGCTGCAACAAATCCTGGAACACAAACAGCCGTCCGTTGAGGTTCGGCCCGCCAACAGAAGCGGCGGCTATGAGCTAGAGCACCTGTCCACTCCGAGCACGGACAGCAAGGACGCCTTGAACTTCCTGAATCAGAAGCCGATAAAGGAAGCAAACATGGAAATGTGAGGGAGGCTTAAATCGAGTTTTCTACGTGTGGGCAGCACACAGGAAGCTCTTTAGAAAACTCTGCTCAAGGACCAATGGCAACGCGTGGCTAATTTTAATCCGGCACGTCTCTGGACGCCCTCGGAGTGCAGATTAGCGGTGCTGTGCCGCATGCTCACCTTCCAAGCCGTCAAAACACAACCCAGAAGAGACGACGGAGACACAAAAATGACAACCTTTTTTTTTTGGCCAAGTAATTTCTCGCTGCTCTGCGCGTTCTCATTGTGGATAAAGCGAGCACGAAACATCTCATCATTACCGTTTGTTGGGTTTGCAGGTTTTCTGCAGCTGCTGTTCATGCTGACTCAGCAGAACACAGCAGCTTCAGCAGGTCATTAGTTCAGCGCCAGCAGAGCATGCCGAGCCGCCAGTGGAGGGTGAACCGTCCCAGATACCCTGTCAGCCGCTGATCAGCATCTGTGATGGGTTTTTATAGTAGAATGGTAAAGTTAAAAAGTTTTAAATCTCCTAAATAAATGCCTTTTTTTTGACAGTTTTTTCTCATTGCACTGAAGTTTTGTTTTGCTTTCAAAGTTTCTTTTTGTATTTTGTAAATGTGGCAGTAGTTTACTGATACTCAGACCATTCAGATATTTAAAGATTTAAATACTGGAAGCCACGTCATCATTGATCAGTGTTCTACGATGGCTGTGGCTCATTCAGGTTCAACAACCTGAGGAGTTTTTTTTCCCTCCCATCTCTACTTGATTTCTCGAGTGTGTCAGTAGATCTGCGTGGTTTCTGATGGTAAGCCATGACTCAGCACTCACACCTTGGCTCATCAGCAGAAATATACTGTCATTTTCAAAACCCTGCAAAAAAGAAAGGGAAAAAAATATTTGCAATGAATAGACCTGAAAGTGTCAAGTAAGGTTGTGATGCGATTGTCATTTCATTTGTGCTACCATTGAAAATTGTTGGCCAAATTAAACTCACCGGTGTAAAGAAGATTTTTTTGTTTGTGTTTGAAACGACGCTTCCATTCGTTGTTAATTTAGCTGCCCAGTCGTCCAGGCACCCAACAGCATTTAGCTCTAGAAATCAGGTCACAGACATTCGCAACCTCAATAAACGAGCGCAACGTGCAGCCAGAATATGACGCATCTTGCGTTTCTTCTAGTAGTGCTCACTTTTTCTATGATAGGAAAAAAAAAAAAAAGAAAAGTTGACTATTTTTCTCCTTGTTTTGCTGCTGTGATGGTATCAAAAGTGCTCTGGCCGCCCACGCGGAACATTAACCTATGAAAATATGTTCTGTGTGGATACAAGTGCTGTGGAAATGTAAGCGGAGGAAGTGGGGAGGAGGGAGAGAAAGGGGCAAACATGTTCACACATGTTGCCTTCTTGAGGCGTGTTGTTTTTGTGAGGTGTGAGAACTTGAAATTGTTTGGGGGCTTTTTAGCTCTATCGAAGAAATCAAGCTTGTACCCACAGTTTTAAAGGCGTTGCAGTTCAGAGAAAACGATTCATAGAGTGCAAGTCGGATGTCGCCTCTTTAAACCGAAAGGGCTGTGGAAGAGAGGAAATTGAGCCGCGTGGTTTTTGCAGGAATTCAGATATGACTCAGCAGCAGCAGCAGCCATCACTTTCCAGGAACTGAGCACCTGTTGATTCACAGCCGCTTCATTCACCGACTCCCACACACACACACACACGCGCGCACACATACATTCGCGTGTACAAACTCAGGTCTCTGCGACGCCTCGTGATCCTTCGACACCTGTTAAAAACAGGATATTGTCATGGAGAAAATTTCAATCGTCATGTTTTTGAGCTACTGTACAAGTATGAAAATGGAAAAAAAAAACTGTATTCTTAGATTTTTTTTTTCCAAAGCCAACATGTGTTTTTACTTATTACAGTTTGCTGGAAAGCGTGGTGGTGGCGGCATCATGCTGTGGGGGATGTTTCATCTTAAGCTCAAGTCAACTCAAAACCCATAAAAAACTTGTTTTGGTGTAACTGGGATCCAAGGACGACATTTCCCACCAAATACATCTGAACACAGGTCCAAGATTTGGCCAAAACCAGTTACTAATTAGCCGCCTTCATGCTAGTAAGTGACATCCTGCTCTTAATCCATAAGGTACGATTTCATCCCATTGTAAAAAGCCACAGGTTTGCATCTTCTAGGAAGGCTCAGAAGCGTATTTGGTTGAGCTCAGGTTTGCCGGACAAAGCTCGTCCATCCGGGTCTTAACAGTCCTTGCTTTGTGGCTGTTGAGCGGACATGTTGGGCCACATTTAGACTGTTCCAACACAGTCCGGATCATCAAGTGGTCAAAATAGTTTTGCCAACGTCTTACCACTAAGGAACTGCCCATTCTTCCGCAAATGTTTGCAGAAATGGTCTGAATGTCTGGGCGTTTGATTTACAAAAAAATAAATATCTGGCCGTAGAAGTGATCGGAAGACGAGAATTCAATTACACACCCAAGATAGCTGAACCCGATATTAGTGGGGGGGCTGAGTCGCGTTTAAACAAGGAGTTTATTTCTATTTGCTTAATGTCACAATGATGAGAGAAAGAACATGTCAAATATTTACTAATGTCCACAAAATCAGGAGGCCTGTTGCCTCAAAATTTCCACCATCGTACTTCACAGCTGGGATGGTGTTTGACAAGCATCCCACTTGTTCCTCCAAACGTGTCGATGTTTATTAGGGCCAAACGGTTCGACTCTGGCATCATCGGACGACAAGTTACATCTCTAAACTGTAAGATCCGTGTCTCTGTGTGCGTCTGCAGTCTGCCATTTTTATGTTTGATCTTGCTGAACCGCCTTTCTGATTTCAGCTGCATGCATTACAGCCTGTGTGCTTAATCTAAATGAGTAAGTTCAAACATGTGTACCCCGTGTTTTTAAGAATTACCTGCATCACCCCGGAAAATTGATGACAACCCAGACGTGTTCGCGATGACTTGTATGAAAATCTGACATTTTTCCTGTTCTCTGCACTGGCACTAAAATAAAAGCAGGCCTTCCCCCCCAACTTCCCTCTGAGTATTGGACTGATCCTGTGAGGGCTGGGCTAAGGGTTTACCAATCGCGTTTCCACCCCCCAACCCAGAGGACGTGATGTGGACAGGAAGTCCATTGTTGTCCACTCCCTCTTCCCTTTTGTTTCCAAGCCAGACTTTCTCACGCCTCCTCTTATTTACAGTTTTGTGTATTGTTGGATCTTGCGTTTTGTGGAAAAGGAAAATAAACATATCGGGTGCACCTGACATTGTTCACCTCTCTATCAAGGAAGGGGACAAAAAAAAAAAAAAAAACAACAACAAAAAGAAAAGAAAAAAAGAGCACAAAAGCCAACAAGCTGCAGGGGCAGAGCGCGGCAGGGAGAAACCTCTTTTACGGCGCACTGCTTTTACGGTCTCGTTAAAACGTGTCTAAATACGATCTGGGGCCAATCAATAACAGCCTTTCAGGAAATGTAATGTCCTGCCTTGCACTTGAACTAACCTCACAATGAAATCCAGTAATCGTCCTGCGGAGGCCCGTCTTAGTGTTTCATCTACTTCCATCACACCGTTTCTTCTTGTTATTTTTTTCATCTCTATGTCATACAATTCCTGTAAAATATACCCTTTGGGATGCGTGACTGGAGAATTTCCTTAATTAAACCGCCATTACTGTAATATCCTATTATAGAAAGGTGCGCTCATGAAACTGGCTGTTTCCTATCACCAGGTTTCATGCATTAGTAATGTTGCATTTTAGCGCGAAGGCCGCTGCTGCAAAGTATGTAGTGCAGCTATAAGCATAAAGTGTATCAAGTTGTGTCCTTAATAATAGCAGTGTGTTTAAAAAGCAAGTAAATCCGCTAAAAAGTAATATTAGATTGTCCAAAATAAATAGTACTTTCTGGATTTTTCTTTTTCACTTTACAACCCAGCCCAAGACCATTTGTCTACGTTGCACAATTCCTCTGCAGTCGCTTGGTTTTGCGTCGCCAGCAGTGTTTTTGTGACGTCACAGCCCGTCTTCTCTTGGATTAACAGTAATCCTAGTCATCTGGGACCAAGATGTTGCTCGCTTCCTGGTGTGTTTGGGGTCAACGTGACACGTTCAGGAACTCAAACCGATTCATGTCTGGGAAATGTCTCCTCATCATGACCCCTGAATCGCCAGACTTCCGAATGCTTCAATTAGCATCGATGGTTCATCAAGTATTGAACTCGTTTCTGAACCTGGGAGTTCTTTTTACCCCTAAACCCAGATTTTTTTTTTTTGGGTCGCTGGGATCTTCAAATTCTTCTGGCAAGCGGCGGCCATCATTCGTCACCTCAGGTGGGTACTTACTAGAAACATTTACTTAAGAAATGTTGAGAGGAAACGTATTTCTGAGAGAAGTTTTACTGCACTGTAACTTTATTTTGAAGTATCGCAACTTTCATTTGGATGAAATTTCTGGCTCCTTTGCGCAGCGCTCTGCTTTACTAAATGAAGGACAATGAGACCATTATGTTGAGACCATTGCTCTAATGCTATTTTCTATTTATGTTTTCTGTTGTGCCGTTTGGAGGTCATGTGAATATACAGTAAACAGAAGTTATTATTGTTGGAGGCACTTAGTAAAATGGACTCTTTTCCAAAAACATACCTGCAGTGTTGCCTCGAATCTTTTGTGCATGTTTGAGAAATCCTTTAATCTCCATGGCAACCATTCGGCTGTGCAAAACGCCTGGGCGGACTTAGCCCCGCCTTCGAGGACGAAGCTCCTCCTCTGAGCCGCTCAGAGCAGGAGGTTTTTAAAGAGACAGAGGCCCAATTTCAAGGCGCTATAGTAGGAAGTAACATTTCTTTTGGGTCATATATGATATAGTAAAATAGTTACTTGATTATGGCATAAAATGGCACCATCTGACTGGGAAACACATGCCACTGCCCCTTTCAATGCACAATATTATTTTTTTTCTTATAAATTTGTCATTACTGTATAGTCTATTATCCTTATTTTGAATATGGACACCTCTACCTGTCAACTTGCTGGTGGCACACCTAAATTTTCCCCAATGTGGGACGATATGACACGATCGTCAGCTCCGGGGCTTTGTTTCCACCCCGAGAGCCCAAATAATCACAACACACGTACATTTTGCAACACTTCGAACAGGAAATCTTTGTGGTTGGCGCCCAGTCAGCAGCTCTTTAACCATCTTAAATGGACTGGAGCTCGTTGGGAAAACACAACAAGCGGGGGCACAATGTATTAGACATAATAGTGCCGTTGTTGAGTTCATTTTTGCCCACCGCTTTGTTTTCCTTTGACTATTTATGAATGAAGGCGGAGGTCAGTGATCTGTTGACATTTTCTGGTCTTGACCACCAGGGGGTGCAGCAGCACACAGAAAGAAAGCCAACAGTCTCTTTCATTGTTCATAGTTGTGTGTGTGTTGGTGTGTGTGTGTGTAACTCTCTCGGGCAGCATAAAGACGACGTTCAGTGCGAAAGGCTTGCGATTCACGGCATGGAGGAGTCAGCGGGCAGCTGCAGTCCTCCACCCTTTGTCAGGTTCGGCGGATGAACGGCGCGTCATGCCCCGAATCCGCTTTCCAGCGTCGAGTTGAATCAAACCTTCGTGAAGCTACTCGGCTGGTGTTTTTCTCCTCCTCCTCCTCCTTCTTCTTCTTCTTCTTCTTCTTCTTCTTCTTCTCTCTGTCTTATTTTTTCTCCTCCTCGGTGAAATCTGACTCCCCCCACCTTTCTTTCCAGTTTGGACGGCAGATTCGTGCTAATTGGCTCGCGTGGAAAAGCAGCATCAAGAGAGAGAGAGAGAAAAAAAAACCTTCCGCTCGCGCACTGCGCCGCTTCAGATGCCTTCAACTTTGAGAGCGAGGGACAACCCCTGAAAGAGAGAGAGAGAGAGAGAGAGAGAGAGAGACAGAGAGAGAGAGAGAGAAAGAGAGAGAGAGAGAGAGAGCCCCGGATTTCAACAGGAGGAG